GTAAAGAAGAAGAAGAAGAAGAAGAAAGAAAGAAAGATGAAGAACATGGGCAGAAGGACGTCTCTTGACGTGTTGATCAGATCTCTGAAACCCAAACACCAGTCGAGTACTACCACGGGGTGGGGTGGCAGTTGCAGAGGGCTTTCGACAACATCGTCTAGATCTACTACTACTAGTACTACTCTAGGGTTTCTGATCAATAATAATAATAATAATAAGACTCCTCCTCCTCCTGCTGCAGCAGCAGCATTGGCCATCATCTCCGGTGGCGGTGGTGGTTGTCGTCGTTACTTTTGGAGCGGGCGCGATCCCCGGTGTATGCATGAGATCAAACCTCCTTGCAACTTGGGCATTCAAATAGTAACCGAAAAGAGGGCTTACATCGTGGAGCGGTTTGGCAAGTACAGCAAAACTCTCGACACCGGAATCAACTTCCTCATTCCTATGGTGGATCGAATTGCCTACGCCCATTCCCTCAAGGAGGAGGCAATCTCCATCCCTGACCAGTCTGCTATTACCAAGGACAACGTCACCATCTCCATCGATGGGGTCCTCTACTTGAAAGTCGTCGATCCTCTCTTGGCCTCCTATGGCGTGGAGCATCCTATCTATGCCGTTGTTCAGCTCGCACAAACAACCATGCGCAGTGAGCTTGGGAAGATGACTCTCGACAAGACATTCGTTGAGAGAGACTCCTTAAACGTCAAAATTGTGCAGGCCATTGACGAGGCTGCCAAGAACTGGGGTCTAAAGTGCCTCCGCTATGAAATCAAGGACATAACTCCTCCCAAGGGAGTGAAGCAAGCCATGGAGATGCAAGCCGAAGCAGAACGAAGAAAGAGGGCTCAGGTTCTGGAGTCGGAGGGGGAAAGGCAAACAGACATCAACTTTGCGGACGGAAGGAAGAATTCGGTGATATTGGCCTCGGAAGGGGCAAGGCTGGATCAAGTGAACAGAGCGCAGGGGGAAGCAGAGGCCGTCCTAGCTAAAGCACAAGCAACGGCTAAAGGAATTGCAATGATCTCACAGGCAATCAAGGAAAGCAGCGGGGGATTAGAGGCCGTGGGTCTTAAAGTTGCGGAGCAGTATATTCAAGCCTTCAGTAACATTGCCAAGGAAAGCACATTGGTGTTACTTCCCAGCAGCACTGTTGCCGATCCTGCCAATGCAATGTCCCAAGCTCTCACTATGTACCAAAAATTGGTAGGAAGCGCTGCTGCTGCTGACACCTCTCCCTCTCCCTCTCCCTCTCCATCTACTGCTGCCACCACCGCACCAGAAGCCCATGGTTGCCCTGCATCTCCATCTCCATCTCCATGTCCATCTCCATCTGCTGGAGCAGATTCATCCAGCATACCCCCTGCTCACAACTCTCAGTCTCGGGTTTCTTCTCATTCTGACTTTGATTCCTGAGTCCAATGAATATTATTATTATGGGTAGTAGCAGCAGCAGCAGCAGTAGTAGTAGTAGTGCTGCTTGGCTATGTTTTTCGTTATTTGCTTGCTTTTATTCCTTCCTATCCAATGCCTCAAGTTTTTGGATATTTTTCTAGAGGCAGAACACACAAATAATATTACTAGTTTTTATTTATTTAAATGGATTTTATTTTTAAAAGTTTAGGGTCAATTATTATCTTAAGAAAAGGGAAAGGTGAAGAGTTGTTTTCAGTGAGGAGGAGATGCCTTTTTATTTCACATAATATAATTTGTGTCTAGTTCAAGGTGGAAACACGTTCCACTTCAACAAAAATAAGGCATTCCCCCATTGGAATATGAAGTTCACATGACAGTGTGTATCTTTTTATATCAGCCAGAAGAAATTGAGATTACATCCTCTGATTTCTGGAAGGAAGTTGAACCCGCATAGTGGATCCATTGGAGTCCAGGAGAGATATACTAATGTAAATGAATTCGAATAGAAGACATTTCCTGTTCCTCTGTTCCAGAAACTCCAGAGCACCTCTCTTCCCACTAGAAAAAGAAAATGAGAAGTGGGCAATATAAAATAAGACTTTGAAGACTTCTGCAAACACTTCGTATGCTCAATTGTTAGATGAATTAGAGTGTTCTTCTTGGTCATCCTACTTTCTTCTCGAGTTTCATCCTCCATTCACTCTATATATATACGGTTGAAAGGATTTGATTTTGCAATAAGAAGCCAACAGCATTATGAAAAGGCTGCATATAATATTAGTATGTTCACCCAGGTTGGGCCATGCTTGAGACAGATTGATGTTAGAACAACAAACAAACAAACACCAGGCTAGAACGAACAAACAAACAAACACACACACACACACACACACAACTCCAACATTATACAGTAATTCTAAGATATTTGTGAGAGAGTAAAAAATGCAAAACCAGGTCGGTCTGTATTCTATTTGCTGCTGCAACATGCTTTTTACAGCTTATCGTTGAAATCTTTATTGTTTGCTTTCAAATGATGTAACAGGAAGACTATTGGTGAGTGCCTGCCTCAACAGCAATGAAGCCCTGCCCTTTTGGGTTTGTTTGGCTTCTAGCAGAAACTCTTCCAACTGAAGCATATATATATATATATACACATAACTAACCTAATACACAAGCCGCATTACAAAATGAAATTGTATGCTTGGATAATTATGTGGTTGGAGAAGTCAGAATAACATCGAAATCACTCAGAGTCCATTCTGCCACTTCGTCTTTGTCGCTAACAAATATTTCAGTTCCCACATCAAGAGATGTCCATATTCTTCTTGCAGGAGCAGTTCCCGGATCCTGCAGTAGAAGAAGAAAGCCTCCGTCAGCTATCATACATCTATAAAAATTAAAAATTAAAAAATAAAATAAAAAGAAGATGAAGAAGAAGTATGCTTCTACAGGAGGTTTTTTTAAATTACTGACCTGATAGAAGTAGAGTCTACTGGAAAGGCCACCAACATCGAGCTCCCAAGTTCTAGCATCCCCAACCCAACCGTCTCCTTGTTTAGTTGGATATCCATACTCAGCCCAGATTGGATGAGGCAGCAACTGAAGCAGCTCCTGTGCCTGGGGATTGCTGTAAGGATCACAAGTGCTATAAGGTTTTTCCAGGTGCCGGGCATTCCCAGGAGCACAGTAGTAGTGGTAAGCTGTGTAAGGGAAATTTGCAGTGTTATTCCTGTAAATTTTTGTGTTGTTTGGAGTGATGTGGAATGGGGGACAGTTCCCCAAACTCGTACTGCTGCACCAAGCTGGAGTTTGAGGGTTAATGATCATCTCGCTGTACCTGGTTACATCGGTCACCACATCTCCATCACAGGCTGCACCATTGTTCTTCCAGCAGCTCCCCATATCTATCAGATAGAATTTTTATCTTAGGTCCACCCCCTTGCTTCACATCCAAACTCAATCTCACTTTGAAATTAGGCGACTCTAGAAGCTGATAAACACACAAAAGTTTCCGAGCACCAAAATGGATATCCATCCATCTCAAGTTTTGTTAATCAACTTGATTCACAGTAATGTCAAATATAAGTGTAGTTGTAATGTAAGACAAAGTGGCTGAGCTGGTTCAGTTGCTTCCTCGTCCAATTTAGTGACTCCCCTTATATTCATAAGCTCATCCTTACTCAATTATGGGAAAGTGAATATTTCTTTGAAATCATATGGTTACCTTATGGAAATCAAAATGAAGTCCTTTAGAGTATCGAAACACCAGGTCCTCTGTTGCTAAGTCTACTCACATTACGCCTCAAAGCCTATTCGAAGCATAGGGGAGGAAAGAAAACAAAACGAAACCCATAATCAACGTTGTAATAGGTTTGAATGCGAACTTTAGAAAACAATTCTACGTTCATTGTACACAATAATGTCAATATGATCCATTTTTTGTAGAACTTTTAGAACCATATCAATAAAATTCTTCTTACTGAATAGTAGGATGACCATCTGAACCCTACAAGAGGGTTGTGAGCCGTGACACCACGTCGTTCAAATGATTGAGTTGTACTTGTTGTGCCTCCCGTGCTTTCTTTTTCTTGTTCGACTTGTTTCATCATCTCCTCTCGTTTCCTTACAAGTTCCTCACGATCTCTTTGGCACTCCTCTTTCTCCCTCAGTTGCTCTTTGTGATCTCTTTCACGAGCCACTTTATCCTTCAGCAGCTCCTTATGATCTCTTTGACGCTCCTCACGAAAAACCTCCAGCTCAGCTCTCATTGACTCCATATGTTTATCGCGTGCTCGTGCTGCACTATCAGGCATCGAAGAGGGTTGGGGGGTTATCCAAAATCCATGCAAGTAATTTTTTTTTGGGCCCAAGCACTTGCCTGGATAGTTCTTCTTGGGTCAATGGTGTCCCAGCATCGGTGGCTACCACTTGTAGTTTCACCATCTCGTTCTGTCATGGAAAAAAAACAATTAAGTATTTACTAGAAGCACAAACAATGATGAAGGAATTTACAACAACTTTATTAATTGATATTCAAGACAATTGGTTTCGATGTTCAATACTCACGTGTAGCTCACCACATTTGGGGTCAATCCAGTCTCCGGTCTTTTTGGACTTGTGTGATTTCTTATAAAATTCAAGAAAATCAAGATCTCCATCCTCATCTACTTGTTAGGTTTGAAATAACAAAATTAAGAACTGCATGAAGTAGTATTGAAAATTAAGAACAAGCATTGATTTGTACATTACTAAATTAACAACTTCTCACCATAAGCGACGTTGCTATTGGAAAGGATCGAGATCCACTTGTATGATTATAAGGTAGCATACGCCAATTTGCTTTACCAGCATTTGAGTGTTTCTGGAAAAAAAAATATTTAGTGAAGAATTTTTACATATTAACGCATAATTTAATTTGAAGAATGGGGTTTATAATTATTTTGTTACCAAGAGTGTTGTTGTTTATATCTTATTTCCATCATTTAATTCCTTGTATTTGAGTTTTGGGATGTGTTGGGTAAGTTTGGAACATGTTGGTTATGAGTTGGAACAAATGATTGCTACCCAGGATTTGGCTTCTTCGCTCGAGCAAGGCTTTTTGCGCTCAAGTGAGCCTTGGGTATTTGCTTCTTCCCTCGAGCTAGGTTTCTTGCGCTTGAGCGAGCTTTGTGTGGTGTATCTCTTTGCTCGAGCAAGAACTCGTACGCTCGAGCATGCGTCTGCGTCTCTGTGAAGACTTGAAGGTTGGTATTCATTGCTCGAGCGATCATTTTTGCGCTCGAACGAGCCCTGTGTTTTACGTTCCTTCGCTTGAGTGTGCGTCTGCGTGAGTGGCAGACCTGAGGCTTCACATTGTTCGCTCGAGCGACTCTTCTTGTGCTCGAGCGAGGTATTTGTTGTGTCTGGTCGCTCGAGCGACAACTCCTTCGCTCGAGCGAGCCCCGTATATATCAGATCGCAGCAGCGTGATTTTACATCACTTTTTCATCTCTTTTTCACTCCAAACCCTAAATCCGGCTATCTCTCTCTCACTCTCTTTACAAATACACCTTGTTCTAGAGGTTTTCTACCCTTTTTCCTTTGTTAAAAAGGTAGAGCTTTGTGTGGGCTTCCTTTGGATCCAAAAAAGTGTGGATTTGAAGCATCTTGAGTTTCCTTCTTCTTCTCCTTTGAGCTTCTCCATTTGAGGTAGGGATAATCTACTCATTTTTATGAGCTTTAACATAAATATTAGTCATTTTGTATAAATCGCAAGACTTGGAAATTTTGGGAAGTTAGGGTTTGAAATTTGAAATGTTTGAAAGAGGGGTTTTCTATTTTTGGGACTCCATTGTGTACGTGAGGTCTTGAAATGGGGTTATGGGTGCGTAATTGATGAAATTTGGCCTTGGAGGTAATATTTGAGAAAATTGGGAAAATGCCCCTATTTGACTTATGTACATTATTAGTGTAAAGGGTGAAATCATTATCAAAATATGAAATTGGTTTGAGAATCATGAAATTGGGGAAAGTTGTGATTAAATGGTGTAGTTGGATTGATAAATCACTCACCTATGGAAAATGTGATAATTTATCTGTTTGATAAGTTTAATTATCTGTTTAGAAATATCTGTTTTGGGCTATCGGTGGAGGATAGCCATGATTGTTGTAGAAATTGCATGATGATTAGGTGAATTAAAACTAATCAATTGGAATATGTCATTGAATATGACAGTTGAATATTAACATTGAATATGTGATTTAATTGGTCATTGTATATGACGACATGTTAAATACGTTACATATGTATATTGTTTGGAAGAAGATAGGGTATGTACTCCATTGTTTGTGAGGAAATAGGGGATGGACTCCATTGAGAATTAAGTTGGCCGGAGTGTCCAGGGTGAAAGTTTCGAAATCATATATATATTTGGGTGCCGGTTCCCTCGGACGTAGTTCCGTAAAATGGCAAAAAAAAATGAAGTGTTGAATGATGATTGTTATTGAAGTGTTGATACATGAGTTGTAGTCTCATTTTTAAACTGTTTGGATAATATTGAGCTATATGAATGAATTGATTTGGATCGAATATGATGTAAGTGTTGATTTGTTATGGGAATGTATAAGTTGGCTTACAAGTGTTAAACATTTATCGGAGGTTAATGTTTTAGTTAATTCTCATATACTGTTTAGCATATCTCTACTGGGCTTTGGCTCACCTTACTTGGGACACCATTTTCAGGTACAAGTGATATGCCGCCTCCAAAGACATAGCTTGGGAGGTTTTGGGGCCGAAGTCTCTATTTTGTTGTTTCATTTCATGTTTATATGTTTTCCTTTCCATGCCGAGGGCTTAAATTGTAAAGGGCTTTTGACCCTCTTTTGTTGTAACGAAGTTATACTTGGAAAGATGCAAGCCCGTAGGGCACTTATTTTGTTAATAGAAGTTAGAGTTACATATAACAACTTTCGTAAGGAGGACTCTGATGAATGAATATATCTTTTCTAGCATGTTTATGGATCCTATAAATGATTGTTTTAAGTCATTTCTTTGAGGGCATTACAACTTGGTATCAGAGTGTGCCGGGTTTGAATACTTTGGGTACGTGGGAAGTGGTTAGTACCACGATGGGTTTGTCTCGCTTATTAGAGACTTAAGTATGATGTTATGTGCTTATGTGATAACATGTTTACGTGACTATATGGGTATGAGACTTAGTTTCTAGGATGTTGATCGAGTCTATGGGTTTCCGGGAGTCCTGTTGGAAAGGCACTTGATCACTGCCATTTCTACGTGGAGCTCTAGTAACGCCACGGGACGGTCATTATCCAGAAATAAAATTTGTATGTGTTTATGTGGTTATGTAGAGTGAATTGATGTTGTCCATCGTATTAGGATGCGGGTGAAATAGCTTCGGCACGTTTGTGAATATGCTAGTGTCTTTTGTTACCTTTATTAGGATGTCAGGACGAGGTCGTGGTGGTAGGCGTGGTAGGCCTAGAAGGCAAGAGATGCCTATACCGGATGAGATTCCGGTGCAGGAGGAAGGAGTTGGTCAGGCCAACGTGGCCGAGCCAGTAGGTCAGCAGGCCACAGGTGCCTTAGCCTGTGAAATGGCAGGAGCATTGAGGGAATCCATGGACATTCTCAGGGCTGAGAATCAAGTCCAGGCCCAAGTAGCTGAGGCAGGGCCGTCTTTTCTAAAGAGGGAGTTTTTCTAATCGAATCCGGACGAGTTTTGGGTGACCTTAAGGAGCCACTGAAGGTTGATGAGTGGCTTGAGCCGATGACGAAGACGTTTGAGATGCTTGGCATCAAAGACGGAGGTTTGCGAGTGACCTTGGCGTCCTTCCAATTGAAGGGAGACGCGGGCCAGTGGTGGAAGTATGCGCAGGAGTGCATTAAAGGGACTTCGGAGGCCTTTGTTGAAGCCTTCCAGGACAAGTATTTGCCGGCTACGGTGAGGGAGAAGTTGAGGGATTAGTTTTCTCAACTCAAGCAGTTGAATACACCTGTGGCGGAGTTCGAGGCCATCTCTACTAGCTTATCTAGGTTTGCTCTGGAGTTAGTGGCGACTGAGGAACGCCGTTGTCTAGAGTTCGAGAAGAAATTGAGGACCAGACTCATGTTCCGAGTTGCAGGGTCCATGATTAAGGATTATGGGCGCCTTATGGAAGGTGCAGCCTATCTGACCATTATGCATGAAGAGGAGGAAAGGATGAGGGGCTCCAAGAGGAGTCAGGATGGCCAGGGGGATGGTAAGAGGCAGAGGGGTCCTAACCCTCAGCAATCCCAGGGAGTGCATTCGAGATCTACCTTTTTAGTACTGAGTTCGGGTTCTGTAAGAGGTGGTCAAGGAGACATCACTTGTTACAATTGTCGTTAGTTGGGCCACAAGTCTCCAGCTTACCCACAGAGAGGAAGAGG